AAAAAAGAAGACTCATATTAATAAAACCAGGAATGAAAGTGGGGACACCACCACCAATCTTACAAAAATAAAGAGGATTATTAGGAAGTACTATGAACAACTGTGTGTAATAATTAGGTAAATGAAATGGACAAATTCCTATAAAAACACAAACGACAGACACAACTCAGGAGGAAATGGAAAATCTGAATAGACATCAAATGTATTATTTATATTTATTTATTTTATTATTATTATTTTTTGAGACAGTGTCTTGCTTTGTTGCCCAGGCTGGAGTGCAATGGCACGATCTCGGCTCACTGAAACCTCTGCCTCTGAGTTCAAGTGATTCTCCTGCTTCAGCCTCCCAAGTAGCTGAGATTATAGGAACGCACCCCCATGCCTGGCTAATTTTTATAGTTTTAGTAGAGAAAGCATTTTGCCATGTTGCCCAGGTTAGTCTCAAACTCCTGACTCAGGTGATCCACCTGCCTCAGCTTCCCAAAGTGCTGGGATTACAGGTGTAAGCCACTGTGCCTGGCCTATTATTTACATTTATAAATATCTATCTATAAATATAAATATGCAACAAATTGAACTAATAATCAAAAATCTTCCCACAAAGACAAGCTCAGGCCCAGAAGTCTTCATTGTTCTGTTCTACCAAACATTGACAGGATTAACACCAATCTTTCATTAACTATTCCAAAATATAGGAGAGGGAAATTCCCTACTCATTCTGTAAGGCTAGTGTCATCCTGATACTAAAACCAAACACATCACAAGGAACTACAGGCCAATAAACACACCTTATGAACATCAATGTAAAAATCCTCAACAAAACGACAAAAACCATATAAAAATTTAGACTTATCCCAAGAATGCAAGGTTGGTTTGACATTAAAAAAGCAATGTAATACACTACTTAATAAAGAACAAATACATAATCATCTCAATCTTCACAGAAAAGACACTTGATGAAACTGAACATCCTTTCATGATAAAAACACTCCAACTAAAACAGAAGTAAACTTCCTCAATCTGATAAGGAGTGTCTATGAAAAACCCACAGTCAATACCATACTTAATAGTAAAAGACAAGAAATTCTCCTCCTCAGGATCAGGAAAAAGACAAGGATGCCTCCTGTCAGCACTTCTATTCAACATTGTACTAGAGGTTCTAGTCACACTTACTTCTTTCTGCAGAGATATGATCATTTATACAGAAAATCCTAAGTAATACACAAAAATTTACTATCACTAATAAGGACATTTCACAAGGATGCAGGATACAAGATCAGTACACAAAAATCAGTTATATTCCTATCCACTAGCAATAAGCAATCCAAAAATTTTATTAAACAATTCCATTAAAATAGCATCAAAAATAATAAAATACATAGGAATAAACTTAAAAGTACAAAACTTGTACACTAAAAACCACAAAATATTACTGAAAGAAAGCAAAGACCTATAAAAATGTCCTGTGTTAATGAATTGGAAGAGTTAATATTGTTAATTTTGAGATGGCAATACTTCCTAAATTGATGCCCATCAAAATTCTAGCTGGCATTTTTTTTTTTTTTTGCAGAAATTGACAAGCTGATCCTAAAACTCATGGAAATGCAAGAACCCATAACAGCCAAAATAATCTTGAAAAGAAGCTGTAGGACTCATGCTTGTAAATTTCAAAACTTAAAGCCACAATAATTGAGACAGGCATTAAGTACTTGCATAACGAGAAATATATACATCAATGGAATAGAACTGTCCAGAAATAAACCCCATACATTTACGAGCAATTGATTTTTGACAAGAGTGAGAAGGCAACTGAATGGGGAAAGAATAGGTTTTTCACAAATGGTACTGGGACAACTGGATATCCACATGCAAAAGAATGAAGATGAACTTCTACCTCAAACCATGTACAAAAATTAACTCGAAATCGAAAATTACTCCAAATGTAAAAGCTAAAACTATAAAACTCTTAGAAACAGAGGCATAAATTTTCAAGACTTTGGAGTAATGATTTCTTATATATAAAGCTGAAATCAAGAGCAATGTGAGAAAAAAATAATTAAAAAATTTCAAAACTAAAAACTTTGGCTGGGTGTGGTAGTTCACACCTGTAATCCTAGCACTTTGGGAGGCCAAGGTGGGAGGATTGCTTAAGTTCAGGAGTTCAAGACCAGCCTAGGCAATATATCGAGATCCCATCTCTGTTTAAAAACAAACAAACAAACAAAAAAAACAAAAAACTTTGTGCTTCAAAGGACACTAACAAAACAAAAAACCAAAAACTTTGTGCTTCAAAGGACACAGAATGGGAGACATACTTGCAAATCATCCATCTCATCAGTGACTAGTAATCCATACACACACCCCTCCTATATATTTACATGTACATGAGAGAGAACCCTTACAACTCAACAATAAAAGACAAATAGCCAATCTTAAAACTGTAAAAAGGATCTTCATCGACATTTCTTCAAAGATACACAAATGGCCAATCAGCAAATGAAAAGATACTCAACATCACAGTCACTAAACAAATGCAAATAAAAACCACAATGAGATACCACTTCACACCCAAAAGAATGTCTATAATCAAAAAGACAGACTACAACAATTGTTGACAAGGATGTGGAAAAACGGAAACCCTTACACATTGTTGATGAGAATGAAAAATGGTGCAGGTACTTTGGAAAACAGTTTGGCAGTTTCTCAAAGTTAAACACAGAGATTCCTATGATTCAGCAATTCAATTCCTAGGTATACACATAAGATGACTGAAACAAATAAATGTTCACACAAAAACTTGTATACAAATGTTCACAGCCGTATTACTCACAATAACCAAAAAATAGAAACAGATGTCCCTCAACTGATAAATGGATAACCCAAAGATATTATATCCATATAACGGAATATCATTCAGCCATAAAAAGGAACGAAGTACAAATACGCACTATAACATTATACTAAGTGAAAGAAGTAACAAAAGACTAAATACTGCATGATTAAATTTATATAAAATGCCCAGAATAGAGAAATACACAGACAGAAAATAGATGAGTGGTTGCCAAGGGCTAGAAGAGAGAAAAATGGGAAGTGACTATTGATGGGTACCGAGTTTTTTCTTTTTTTGAGACGGGGTCTCGCTCTGTCACCCAACTGGAGTGCTGTGGTGCAATCTTGGCTCACTGCAATCTCCGCCTCCTGTGTTCAAGCGATTCTTGTGCCTCAGCCTCCCGAGTAGCTGGGATTACAGGTGCCCGCCACCATGTCCGGCTAACTTTGTGTACTTTTTTGTAGAGATGACGTTTCACCATGTTGGCCAGGCTGGTACTGAACTCCTGACCTCAGGTGATCCGCCTGCTTCAGCCTTCCAAAGTGTTGGGATTACAGGCTTGAGCCACCATGCCTGACTGAGTACTGGGTCTTTTATTATGATTAATGAAAATGTTCTAAAATTAGACAGAGGCAATACTTGAATAACCTTATGAATTCCACTGAATTGTACCTTTTTTAAAAAAGGAACAATGAATGCCTTCAAAATTCTGTAAGATGATTATTTTCAACTTAAAATTCCAAATACAAATTTAAATATTGAGATAATAGTACAGGGAAAGTGGCCCTTGGGCTAGGGTAGGGTAGGAGAGCAGCTGCTCTATTAAAGAGAGCTAACTCCTCAACTATCATAACAGAAAGGTAATGTTTACTGTTTAAAATGTAAACATGAGGCCTGGCACAGTGGCTCATGCCTGTAATCCCAGCATTTTGGGAGGCCAAGGTGGGCAGATCACTTGAGGTCAGGAGTTCGAGACCAGCCTGGCCAATATGGTAAAACCCTGTCTCTACTAAAATACAAAAAAATTAGCTGGGCCTGGTGGTGGGTGCCTATAATCCCAGCTACTCAGGAGGCTGAGGCAGGAGTACAGCTTGAACCTGGGAGGCAGAGGTTGCAGTGAGCCAAGATCACATCACTGCACTTCAGCCTGGGTGACAGAGTAAGACTCTGTCTCAAAAAATAAAAAAAAGACTATCTCTGAGAAATGAGGCCCACAAAGGCCAGAACTGATACATTTGATTTTTTATAGTCTCTGCATTTATTACTTTAATATAAATTTTAAATGATTATTACAAAAGAGAAGCACTGTCATACTCTTAAGAAACTAGGGCCAGGCACAGTGGCTCACACCTGTAATCCTAGTGTTTTGGGAGGCCAAGATGGGAGGATTACTTGAGGCCAGGGGTTCTGAGACCAGGCCAGGCAACAAAGTGAGACTTAGTCTCTACTACCCCCCAAAAAATTCTTTTAATTAGCCAGTCTTGGTGGTGCACGCCTGTAGTCCCAACTACTCTGGAAGCTATGGGAGGGGATCACTTGAGCCCAGGAGTTCAGGGTCACAGTGAGCTATGATCACACCTCTGCACTCGAGCCTGGGTGACAGAATAGTTTTTAATAAAATTTAAAAGAAGAAACTGAGCCACCTAAACAATGTAGTAGAAAAGGCCCAGCACTGGGGACAGAAGACTGGATATCATGTCCCATGGCATTTATTCTCTGTGTGATCCTGAGCTTACCACTGTATCTTAGTGTCCTCACCTGTAAAATTGAGACTAAAATTACCTGTGTTAAGAGAATCAAACAAAACAAATGCTTTTTAAGTAGATTAAAAAGTATTGTTTTAAAATCTTCTAAATTATAGATTAAATACTATCTCCGTAACACTGCAACTACCCAAATATTTTACATCTTACTTATCAAAGAGAGATTCATGACTACTGCTAAATTGTCTTGTCTCCAGGATTTACTTTAAGTTGAATCACCTGGACTGGGGACCAGACTAGAAAAGACTCCAGGGATAACTCTATAATCCACCAGCTAAATAAAGCAATGTGCTTATTCCCGAGAGTACATTGTCTTTTAGACATTATGTGTATGGTTACCTTTGCATGTCTGTATATCAATTACCAAAACAACAACAACAACAACAAAAACCACCAAACACATTTACCTTCACAGTCAAATCTTCATTACCCAGCGTGACATAAACTTGAATAGGGGGGTAAACACCTTTGTCAGCATGGTGCTCCATAGTTGCTCTCATTGCATTCTGAAATACATTAGGGTTATATTAAAAACATTGCTTTTTAAAAAAGAGAAACTGTAATTTTCAAGTACAGATATACTATTTGAAGTGTTTAAGTTTGATGGAAATATGCCAAAGAATCACAATTCTTATAACCACATTTAAAGTTTTTTTTTTTTTAATACAATTTGGGGAGAGATTTAAAGGATATTCTGACAAAAGATTCCAACTAAATTCCGCATATTTTCCAAAGTCAGACTTCAAAACACTTTTTTAACTAGCTTACATTAAAGCAGAAAACTGTTCACTTTTTTAATTTTAGTAAATGCTGGGCAAAACATTTTTGAAAATGTAGTTTCAGCTATTTTTAGAACTATTAAAAACTCATAAATTTCTTTAAAGGAAAAAAATTTTTTCATATACTAGTAACAGCGATGGCTGTATTTGATGGAGCAATGAATCCCTTTACCTCTAGTTTGAAATTAAGGGCATTGACATTGAAAAGCTGCCTTCCTAATTTCTAAAGGAAATTAGTGAATTATGTACACAATGCCAACATATGAGAAGCCTTTAACAATAACATGACATGCGGCATTGCAGTAGAAAATGATACAAACTAGATGTAACTAAAAAGGCATCTGAATTTGGAAGTAAGAGTGTGTGGCCCAAGCACAGCAATTGCAATTGAGTCCCCTTATGGAGGAAATTCCATCATTTCTACCCAAGGCAGTTTAAGATTAGGTTCTAGATGAAAATCTATGTATAATATGTAATATAATACGGAATACTTCAATCACAGGGCACAAGATCTTTATGCGACTGACTGGAATTTCAAGGAAAAAATTTGTGTTAATGCTTTAAGTGCCCATCACTACTTGTTTAACCACTTAGATAAAAATATTTTGGGGCCAAGTGCAGTGGCTCATGCCTGTAATCCCAACACTCTGGGAATCCAAGGCAGGACAACTGCCTGAGGCCAGGAGTTCGAGGGCAGCTTGGGTAACAGAGTGAGACCTCAGCTCTACAAAAAATAAAATAAATATTTTAAAAAATATTTTGTAAGGTATTAAATACATTTTTGCTGTCTTAGAAGAAAGAGCATTCTGGTGGTGTTCTAAGATATTCAGTCAGTTTTTCTGTGTTTCAGTGCACTTTTCCTTTACATTATCAGATTGAAAGCCACTCCTTCTGTCTCTTCTAGTTTGCTGCTGGCTGATGAAGCAGAACTACAGAGAGATTACAGGCTTCTGATGGAGGGCAGTTGTTTTCAGCCACCAGGACCTATGTCACACACTCCTCACCCATTTTCCTGTCAACCAGCAAGTATCATTGGTGGGGAAAAAAAGATACTCTCAACATTACCAGCATAACGTAGTTTTCAAAATTTGTTGTAAAGAGCAAAGATAAGAGCAGAAGCCCTGTTAGTCAATATAAATGACCTCTCTCTCCCAAGAAAAACCAGACCACAGAAAGGATTCTGGTCCTTTAAGGGTAGAAAGTTGAGAATCGTTCTTCTAAATACTGTTTTATACATACGCAAAGATAACTTTATTGAGCACCTATATGTAATCTGCTGCCATTGTACCGGTATGTTATTCCTAATCTTCATAAACAATCCTGGACAGTGTTCTTGTTTTACAAAAAAGGAAACTGAGGCTCAAAGAGGTTGGGTGACTTGCCCAAGGTCACACACATATTAAGTGCCATAATTGGGATTCAAATCCAGGTCTTTCTGACTCTAAAGTCTGAGCTCACTACTACATGGAGGTGTCTGCCTGTGTTGATACAGGCTGACCTCCAGCAATGTGATAGGATACTGACATGAAATGGCACTTCTTAATAGGAGAAACTAGCAGAATATTTGACTTTCAGAGCAGATTCCTAATCTCAGAAAAGTACTGGTAAAGGTTATGTAATACTATTTTACAAACCTTGAAAAGTTCAAACACCATGTGATAGAGATGGGATGGTACATAAACCACTTGTATTGGCTGTCCTGGTGATTTTGCTACAGAGTAGAAGAGAAAAATATGAAAGTACAGAGAGATGTGCTTAAAGCATTTTTAAGAAAAAATTGTGTAGTGATGAAAAGAAAACATTAACTATGGAGGACAGTATCATTTGGGGGAGAACTGTCACACCATTTCTTCAATGTATTAGTGTTTGAACCTGTACCCACAAATATTTACAACTGACAAGAGTCCTGTGGTCACTTCTCGCAACCCTACATAACAATTGAACCAACCCGTGTACCCATTTTTCTCCAGGATGGTAAAGTCTTTTTAAAGATCACTCAACTTTCAGGTAGGAATTTAACTTTTTAAAGAGAAGCGTTAAAGTCCATAAATTCCACAGTCCAATTCACATACATACATTCTTTTTTTTTTTGAGATGGAGTCTCGCTCTGTCACCCAGGCTGCAGTGCAGTGGCAGGATCTCAGCTCACTGCAACCTCCACCTCCTGGGTTCAAGCAATTCTTCTGCCTCAGCCTCCCAAGTAGCTGGGACTAGAGGAACCCACCACCATGCCTGGTTAATTTTTTGTATTTTTAGTAGAGATGGGGTTTCACCATATTGGCCAGGCTGGTCTCAAACTCCTGACCTATGATCTGCCAACCTTGGCTTCCCAAAGTACTGAGATTACAGGAGTGAACCACTGCACCCAGCCATACATTCTTTAAGAAGCCATTTTCTAAATGTTTCACCTCGGCAGAATATTGTTTTATTTCAGGCATTTCGATGGATATAAAGCTGAATAAAAAAATATAAGTTAGCATCAATTTCTCGAGACAGTAATTAACTACATTTAAACACTTAATAGGAGTCCCCACTGGGGGTGGTGATAGGGGTGTTTATAAAACACACATTTAATAGAACACAGGAGTAAGACTCATAATACCTTAGGATTCTAATTCAATCAATAAATCCTTCTTCTGACTAAACTCCCTCTTGGGAACACGAATGGGACATCTGGAAATTGCTCACAGTAGTTCAGGTTCACAAACTGTCACTTGTACATTGTGATTGTTATTTATCAAATGCTATGCTACCATTACAGAACTGAAGAGTTAATATGGCTTTAGAAAACCACCAAGCAATTCTATTTTCAATTGTATAACTTCACTGCTCTCTCACTCTAAGGTCCAGGATACAGCTTAGTAAAAGCCTATTTCATTTTATTCTTCCTACCACACCTTCTTAAAGTGTCATCGTAGGAAATGTTTTTCTCTGTCAAACTACCATGCCTCAGGAAAGAGACTCATCAATCCCCTTGCAAGGCATCTCAACCCTTTTGTCCAAAAAGCACTAATCAAGTTAAAATGAAAACCATCAGAGACTAACAGACTCTCAAATAGATCAGCATCTTTCTTTCCTCTTTTAAAACCCTAGGCTTTCTATGCCCTCAACAAGAGAAAAGTATTTACAACTCATGACGTAGAAAAAGGGTAAGTCTTACATTACTGAAGTGCATGTAAAAGTCAAATGTAACTTTCTTGGCATCATTTTTTTTCTATGACTAAACAGAAAATAAAAAATAAGCAAAGAATCAAAGTTATCAATTAAAAATAAAGACAATGAGGCACAAAAAGCCAATATTTTTGACAATCTGACTAAATTACATATATATATTTGTATATACACTTTTCACATGATTACTTTCCTTTAGCCTTTATATACAATGCAGTTGAGGAAAAAGTCATCTTCCATTAAAACATTTAAATTCTTATCCCTTACCAAGTAATCAAAGCACTAATTATTGAGGAAAACAAAACATCAGGCTTACCATTTAGTTCTCCAAGTTCTAGTTCGGGAGAGTTAATATAATACAAATCACACAGACGCCTAGCATTTTCATAGCCATCTGGTGCAAATAAAAACAAAAAGAAAAGATTTAATATATACACTTCTGTTTCATGCATTAAGATGGCAATAGTATTGACAAGTGAAAATCTTAAACTTTCTATAAAAGAAAATATACTTTGATAGTTTGGGGTAAGTCTTTGTTTTTTTTTTGGTAGAGCCATAGTCTCACTACGTTGCTCAGGTCTTTTTTGTTTTTTAAGTGAAAGATACCCTCAGCAGGGCTCAGTGGCTCATGCCTGTAATCCCAGCACTTTGGGAGGCTGAGGCAGACAGGAGTTCTAGACCAGCCTGGCCAAAGTGAAAGTCCGTCTGCACTAAAGATACAAAAATTAGCCAGGCATAGTATTGGGCGCCTGTAATCCCAGCTACTGGGGAGACTGAGGCAGGTGAATTGCTTGAACTCAAGAGGCAGAGGATGCAGTGAGCTGAGACAGCACCACTGCACTCCAGCCTGGGCAACAGAGTGAGACCCTGTCTCAACAACAACAACAACAACAACAACAAAAAGGTTTATCAAACTTTGCCTAACAAATAATTATATGAATAAAATAGTCATCCTATATACAATGCACAAATAATACTATAAAGTTATTTTCAAACCCACACATGTGTGCCTGCCATTTTATCTCATGATGCAAACAGCTGCTTTAATAGTAAGAAATAACAATCAATAATTTTGATTTTTGTATCTTTTTTGCAAGGAGAAATGTTAGGATTTACCTTTAATAACTTCAACTACATTGCAGTTTGGATTTATGCTTCCAATGTGTTTTCGATGAGATGGACTTCCTTTGCCTTTTCCACCAAACAATAAAGCTATCCAAAAATAAAAAACAAACAAAATAAGCTAAACTACTTAATGCTCTTTTCCAAATGTGAATACTGTTTCAATTGTACCAAACAGTAGAACAAATATTTTCTTTTAGGATAAACATAGTATTTTACATTAAATAAAAATACCTTTCTTGATGGCAGTCTATTTACTTTTCCTAATTAGCAAAAAAGTAAAACTAAATTTTCTACCTAAAAGGAAGTTTTCTAAATAAATTTAAAATATGCCAACACATCTTATTTAGCCGCTTCTCTTGACTGAGGCCACTTACAGTGCTGATTGAGTAACATTCTAATTGAAATGCGACTCATGTAGAATCGATCCAAAAAGTACTGAACATTCTGGCTGGTGACAGGATCCACCCCAAAGCTCTCCTTGTATTCAATCACACCCTGGGCCATTGTGGGAATGACATCATTGTGTCGGTTTCTGATCCGTATCACAGTATCTGTAAAGCTAAACAAACCCATCTGTCAAAACAGCCAAATATTTTGACAAGTAAGTTTAATACAAAAATTTAAGTTTAACAAGCTATACTAGACAAAAAAAAATCCCTAACTTAGTAAAAGAAAAATCGGTTCATGTTTTCCTATACTTATTTACATGTATTTCAGATCATAAAATATACCAAATCCATTCAAGTATAAGTGCCTCCAAAATAAAACTTTCAAAATTTAATTATTTTCTTGGATTCCTAAGAGTAAGGCTGCCACAAAACATAATCCTAAAAATGTTAATGGTTTTCTTTAACTGTTATCAACTAAGGTCATCTGAGCACTGGCTATGAGTATGGTATTCCAGAGACATTCTGCATAGAAGACAAAGCACTCTAGGACACATGCTCTGTAAGGAATCCAGATGAATGAGCCAATAAAGCCTGCCTGTTTTGGAACTCTTCCCTAGGGTTCAAAGAGAGAAGAAACACTTAGGACAGAAAAACAAAAAAGAATTCTCATTTCATTCATCTTATGAGTTTATAAAAGGGGAGAGGAAAAGTAAACAATTATATTAAAAGACAAATCTTCAAATCATCTAGCCTTTCCACTTCTGTCACTTAGAAGACATTACATGGTTAAAGAAATAAATAAAAGAGAAAAAAAGCCTTAATTAGCAGTAACAAAACCAATTTTCTAACATAACAATCTGAATGTACACTTCTAAATGAATGCTTTCTTATTCAAAGTTATCATCCTGAGTATTATTAACTTATTCCAATGTTTCTACTGCTTAAAAGATATTTGGAATTCCTAGTTTGTAATGAGATTCAAAACAAGACTGTTAAAACAAAATACAAACAACAAAACTCTTCGAAAACAACAACTCCTCAGTCTAGTCACTTTTTATTGATTTATTTTCTTTTTTCTTAAAAGAAACACAAATCTGTGTTATTCTGCTTGACTACTCAATTTATTTTCTACAACTCCGAATGAATGTTTTCAGAAGGCTCTATAGCATAATGTTTACTTTTAAATTAAGACTGCTTGGATTCTACCATTTGCTAACCACGTAACCTTAAGCTACTTTACCCTCTTTGTGCACAAATAGCATTATTTCAATGAACTGTTTTAAAGATTAAAAAACATTCATGTGAGGTTTGCTCAATATCTAGGCAAGGAGTAAACTCTTGCTAAATGTTATTTTCAGATTAAAATGTTAAAAAAATGAAGTGTTACTGTACCCTTTAAAGACAGTCCAAAAAATATGGGTAACTAACTGAGGACAAGAAGTGGTCATTACAAAGTCAGTACCCTTCATTGCAATAAGCAGGTAGCTGCATAAGACAAATACTTTGGTTTACCAATTCCAGTACAGTGGTTATTAAACCTGTCATATTACTTACATCATCTTACAAGCCACAGAGTATAAACTAGAGGCCTGCAATCATGTTCTTATCGGCCTTCTGCGTTTAAAAAAATTTTTAATTAGTTGCCCATCTTTCAAAATTGAGAGATTTTACATTACAAATATAGACTTGTAGCTTTCCTTTAAAATCAGAAAACAATCAGATGATCTGGACAGCATTCACATGGCAAAAAGATCAGCTGGGGCTAAAGGTGGCTGTCCATTAGAAGGAGCATGCACTCTCCAGGTTAACAGTCCAACTGGCACTGAGACCACACCTACATTCCATTAATCAGCACACCTCAACTTCATCTTTCGTTAAAGAGGAGCATGAAGCATTTCTTATGCCTAGTCAAATTTACTGATTTATGTTATTTGCCCTGCCTGTATGGGCTGCTATAGTCACATATATCATATGTTGTAAAGCAGTAGAACCCTAAAAGTTAATCAATTTTCCCAAAGTAACCTAACAGGTTTAAGCTAAATACATTTACATTTTTTGAATGACGTTTAAGGGATCTAAAAATTGTATTCAGAATAGGGTCAAAACAGTGAACTCACTCATAAATAGCTTTAGCATCCTCAGCGCTTTTGTCCTTAAAATCAAGAAGCTCCTGAAGACTCTGGATATACCTAAAATGCAGATCAATAAGGTCATTCTTTTATATTCTGAAAGTTCAATATCTTGAAAAGTAGCTCAAAAGCTATTTTTAGCATTTTATAATTTTTAATTTAGAATACTGCTATAAGTGATGGTTGAAGTAGAATTTTTACAATCATGCACATTTGAGCAAAGTGCTGAGAACAAATAGAAGGTGCATATTTTCTCCTAAAAGCATAGGTCAAATTTAAGAATTTTAAGCTTTTTCTATACCATTTTAAGTTGTATATCTTAAGATAGTATTTAAATTTTTTTTAAATTTACCTCTGTACATTACAGTATATATACTGATTATGCTGAGGTCTGACTATGTCACCAGTAACTATGTGATCTTGCGTAAAGGACTTAATTTGTCTCATCAGTAAAATGAAGACAGCCTCTCTTGCTCTAAGACTCTAACTTAAATATCTGTGCTTTAAAATCTTAATTTTAGACGTTTATGTCCAATCGACAAATACTTATTGAAAGTCTACAATCTACTACATGGTTCTTCTAAACTGAACAAAAAACACAAAAGTCATGAAAATGTAGATTTTAAATTTATCTAGCAATTCAAGGTATCAAAGCACTTGTTCAGAAATGAGCACCATAAGGAAGGCCAAATGACTTTCTGATGGTCTTGCAGGCAAGTAAAAAAGCACTGCAGGGTCACAGCTAAAATAACTTGCTGCCACTCAATTACTTTCTTTGACAGTGTAAGGATCTGCTCCACTTGGCTGTAAGCACTTCATCTGCAACTGCCCTAACTTAGCAGGCATCTAGGAGCAATCAGAGTGCTTTAAAAACCTGTAATTCCATCTGCTGGTTTGGAAAACTGTTTCTGACAAGCAGTATGTCTTACTGCATTCCAAAGTCAAGGGATTCTGATAGCAGCTGCTGCTTTGCTTTAACCCTTAATTTCCTCTTAATTGGCAAGAACAGCTATGCTCTCTATCCAAGAGATATCTGAGTAACTACAACAGGCAACGATCAGACTTCATGACTGATATGCTTCAAAAAGCAGCATACTACTTCTAATGAAGAAATTTTTTTAAAATAGAAAACATCTTCCATGGAATATTATATTTTCTCCTTCATATCCCATCATAATTCCCTAACAAATGCTTCCCGTTTACACATAACTATTCCATACTTGGACTAGATAGATTATCTGATTATCATATATGCAGCTGTCATACCTTTTCTGCTTTTTTAAAATTGAGATTAGATCAACTTCTCCTATACACTACAATGCCTACAGAAAGAAAACTTGAATCTCCATGAATCATAACTGGGAAATGTCCTTCAGCTAAACTCTCTCCATTTAATTTAATTCTGGGCAACTCATTTGTTTGACGTGTATAATGCTTAGGAGAACAACACTTTTAAATCAATAACATTAACAAAGGCTGTGTATAGGTGGCTCCATGAGTATATACCCTTAACATCTCTACTCATCTTTGGGAAGTAGGCCACATAGAGGCCACAGTTTTTCTACACGAGTCCAAAAACTTCTAATTGTTTTAAAACAGAAAAATAAAAGTTTTAACTTTTGCCATTTATAAAAAGAGATCCTTCAATAAATAAACAGTTTATTAAAAATACATATACCCTTTCATATATTTTATAATTCTGACTAAAGCATGGTATAGCAGAGATGGACAAACGTGGGTCTGAACACCAACTCCACTGTCAATAGTACTGCCTTATGCAAAAGACTTAATTAACCCTTATGTGCCTCAGCATCCTCATCTGTAAAACGAAGATAATCAGGCAGGCACAGTGGCTCATGCCTGTAATCCCAACATTTTGGGAAGCCAAGGCAGGAGGATTGCTTGAGCCCAGGAGTTCAGAGCCTGCCTGGGCAAAAAAATGAGACCCCATCTCTAAAAAAATAAAAAGAATTAGTGAAGTATGATGGGACATGGCTGTGGTCCCAGCTACTGGGGGGAGGCTAAAGCAGAAGGATCTCCTGAGCCCAGGAGGTCAAGACTACAGCGAGCCATGATCAAACTACTGCACACTAGCCTGGGTGACAGAGGGAGATCCTGTCTTAAAAAAGAAAATAAATTAATTTTTAAAATAATAAACAGGCTGGGCACAATGGCTCATGCCCATAATCCCAGCACTTTAAGAGACCCAGGTGGGCAAATCCCTTGAGCTCAGAATTTCGACCAGCCTAGGCAACATGGCAAAACACCATTTCTGCTAAAAATATAAAAATTGGCTGGGTGTGGCTTGTGCTTGTGGTCCCAGCTACTAAGGAGGCTGAGGTGAGAGGATCACCTGAGCTGGGGAGGTGGAGGTTGCAGTTAGCCAAGCTGTGATCACCACTGTACTCCAACCTGGGCAACAGAGTGAGAACCTGTCTCAAAAAAGTAAGTAAATAGCCCAGGTGCAGTGGCTCACACCTGTAATCCCAGCACTTTGAGAAGCTGAGGTGGGAGGATCACCTGAGGTCAGGAGTTTGAGACCAGCCTGGCCAACATGGTGAAACCCTACTCTCTACTAAAAGCACAAAAATTAGCCAGGTGTGGTGATGCGTGCCTATAAGAGCAAGACTCTGTTTCAAAAGAAAAAGAAAATAAAAATAACAACAACAATAAATAAAATGGAGACAATCATACCTACCCTGCAAGGTTGCTGAAAGGATTAAAGGCAATATACATAAATATCTATTCATGAACAAACTGCAGACATTTTTCTTATAATATCCCTGAAGACATTCTAACATAAATCTTAAATTTAGCATCTGTATTTCAGTGCAGTTCTGTTTTTCTCAAAATCAAGGAGTTGTAGAGTTCAGGATTCAGGGCACAAACCCAAATACATTGCCCCCACCCACCCCCAGCCAAAAGAAGGAGAATACTGCTACTACCTTAAGATTCCAGCCAGGCACGGTGGCTCACACCTGTAATAGCAGCACTTTGGGAGGCTGAGGCTGGCAGATCATGAGGTCAGGAGGCTGAAACCATCCTGGCCAACACAGTGAAATGCCGTCTCCACTAAAAATACAAAAATTAGCTGGGCGTGGTGGTGCATTCCTGTAACCCCAGTGACTTGTGAGGCTGAGGCAGGAGAATCGCTTAAACCAGGGAGTTGGAGGCTGCAGTGAGCTGAGATCATACCACTGCACTGTAGCCTGGCAACAGAGCAAAACTCTGTCTAAAAAAAAAAAAAAAAAAGAATTCCACTGAAGAATAAAAAAGAAAGCATTTGCCTGCTATTACACTGAATAAAGTTCACAACTCCATCAAAATTGCAAACACAAGATGAGACTCTTACCAGCTTTGTACTAATTGAACAGATGGTGTCCGGAGAAGATTGTCTGGGAGGAGACTTATTTCTTTCATTATATTTGCCAGTCTGACAGGCAACTCTTGCCGCAGAAACATAAATGATGTCTTTTCGCAAGCATTCACTGATCCTGAAACCAAACATGATGGGTAAAGCAGTAAGTAGAAGCCATAAGACAAGACAAGGCAGGAGGCAGGGAGAAATAGAGACGGAGTTATCTGGCAAGGTCAAAGGGGAATCACTAGGATGGGGCAGGGAATAGGAGGCAAAGATACCCCAGCCTTTGGGAGGTGAGGGATGAGATAACCCAGCCTTCAGTTATGACCTTCTAATGGCTCTGTACAGCAATTACAATCCTTTCTTGACTCCCTAACATGCATCCTCATAGTGATCACCCATTTTAGGAATTAGGTAACCTGAGCATGTCAGAGTAATTTTATAAAATTAACAGCAGAACCTAAAAAGTCTATCCTGTACACCCTGTTGCTGCTATCATTTAGAAAATCTGTTTTCTTAACTCTAGGTTTAAAAAGAGAAAATGCCTGTCTAAGAAACAGAAACTTTAGGCTGGTTTAAATGCAGTGGTGTTTACAATTAATTGATCACTACCATTTACAGATTCTTTGTTCCTTCTCCACTCCCACTTCTTCACTTGACTAGCCTTAAAAAAAAAAAAAAAAAACTGAAAAGTATAAACAGGGGGCCTGGCACTTTGGGAGGCCAAGGCAGGAGGACTGTTTGAGCCCAGGAGTTCAAGACAAGCCTGGGCAATACAGTGAGACCTCATATTTATAAAAACTAAAACATAGCCAGGCATGGTGGTGCTTGCCTGTAGTTCTAGCCTTGGAAGGCTCGGGCAGGAATTTGAGGTTACGGTGAGCTATGACAGCACCGGGGCACTCCAGACCGGGTGACAGAGTAAAACCCTGTCTCAAATAAAGAAAATAAAAAAGGGAAATTTTGATGTTTGCATAGGAAGATTCACAGATTCCACACAGAACCACTAATGCTGATTACCATAAGCAAAGTAAGTGCAGGTCTTAAGTACAGGTTTCACATGCATATATATGAAAAAAAAAGGAGTAAGTGCAGAGGAAACCTTTCAGGCAACAGAAAGCGAAAACCATCACTGCTCTGCAAGTAAGTTCTATTCAATCGTCTGGTTACTGGAAAGCATCCAGCCCCCTCCACTCCCAGATCAGGATCCCATATCACTCCAGAAGCAGAATCGTTGTAGAACGTCCTTTGGCAAACAGCTCCATTTAAAGTTAAACCAAAAGCTCTTATCATTCCAGTAATGCATTTTAAACTTACTATTCTTGCTGCTTTAGCAGATAAAAAGTTAGCAAAAACTATAAATGTCAATAGTCGAAATTAAGGTATTAAAAGAAAACAGCTTGTGAAAGTTTCATGGTATACTTATGAACACCACCAAATTGGCCCATTCCTCAAACTAGAGTCATTTTAAAGTAAAAACAAAAACCGAAAGCTTTGAGCCAAAACTTATGCCACTGTAAACCACAGTTTAAAGTTGCCAGTCCCGCAGGTATCATTCAATGCAGAAGCCACAATGCAGAAGAAAAACCTTTGTACTCAAATTTTATGAATTCATTAAGGTTTTCTTTTCCCCTCATTGCTTTCATATAGGAAGTCAAAGTTAAAATGCCTCACTGCAATTCCTTCTGCAATTTGTTGAACAGCTTCCAGAGAAAACCAAGACAACATGTGGTAAAATTCACAGCATTTTGTCCTCATGTATTCAACACGTGCTCAAGACTTACTTGCGGATGATGAAATGTGCTGTTGGTGTAAACAGTCTTGAGCCACTGGCAAGGAAAACATTCTAAGAAACGTTGGGCCAGTTATAACCTGCCTTCCCAATCATCACGCCAATTCTGTGCAATCGTCATATGCAAAACTGAGCATTCATCATCACTGCGCGGAATCCAAACGCGATTCTCGGGGGTGCCCACGCTCGGCCTCCCACCCGCGACTCCTCGGAAGGGGCCTGGCCGAGCGCGCACCTGCACACGTGCGCCGGAAGGCGGGAGGTCATTCCGCGGCCCAGCTGGTTTGCTTTCAACAGTAACTGTCAAAGTCACACGCCCCCGGTTATTTACGCCGCCCGCCAGCATCGGCACCCCGAGGGAGGAAGGAAGCACCTAAGGCTATGGGGGCGGAAACACTGAGGAGGAGGAGTGCGCCTCCGGCGAGAGCGGGCCAGCGCTGACCCGGCCCAGGAGAGTGGCTGCAGCTCCCCACTCGGGACCGCTCACAAAGGCCCGAGCTCCGGGCCGCACTCACCGAAGTCCAGGAACTGCTTCATGGAGAGCGGGGACGGCGAGAAGCGCGCGTAGAAGTCCACCTGGCCCGGAACGCCGCGCTCTGACGCCGGGCCGGAGCCCGAGTCCGAGCTGAGGCTGCGGGTGACGCCGGGGCCGGCGGCACGCAGCCTCGGGCTGGGGCCGGTCGAGGCAGCTCCGCTAAGCAGCCGCGCCAGCCTCATGCCGAGCCCCGCCGGAAGAACCAAAGCCGAGGCGCCAGTTCCCCGCTCCGCTACACCGCCGAATGGTACGTGAGGGACGTGGCTGGCCGCAGGGGCGGGCAGCGGTTGTCACCGGCTGGCACCCGCCCCCTCTCGCCGGAGCTCGGCCCACTGCGCCGCTGGGCTGTACGCGGAGCGGGAAGGAGGCGGGGAGAGAAAAGGGGCGGGCGCTCGCGGGGTCCGCCCCGTCCCCGGAGTCCCGCCCAGCTCCGCGGGATACGAGGTGCCGAGAGCGCGCCGCGGCGTAGCGTGCGCCGAGATCCCGCCCCGCGGGTTATGGGGTGCGCGTGGCTGCGGTCCCGGCGCACGTCAGGACCGGGGACACTAAGAGGCGAGGCGGTGTGTAGCGTCCCCTTCCCCAGCCCTTTTGATACAGATCCCACTTTCCTGCTTCCGCTGCCCTCCCAGTCTCAGCCAAAAGACTCAAGGACAAGGCGGCGCTCTCTATACACACCGCGGTGTCCTGCTGCGAGAGCGTTCCAGAAACGCTCCTCTGATGCAGACCACAGGTTTTTCCGCTCCGGAGAGCTTCAGGGGTCCCCGCTTGCCAAACAGCGGTACGTAAATACGAATGCTGAACACTGGGACGTTTGGCCCTAAACAGTGTCACTGCGACGGTGGCCCCACCAGAAAGGCTGTGTGTCTCTGAGCCTCCATCTTTTTACCTAAAAATGAGCATAGTATCTGTCTCACTTGTTGGCTGTGACATGAGTAGTGTAAGGTTAGCAGAGAGAAAGGAGAGTAGACCCAAAGTAGGCAAGCAAGTTTTGTTAACGTGCCGGGCTGCCCCGTGACAATCAGAGGAGGCAGCCCTGAGCCTCCAGAAACGCGGGGTTTATATGGGGTGAGGGGGCATAAGGTAGTTTCAGGACTGAGAAAAATTTATCAGCTTGTGACAGACAATACATTATGCTGTGACTTTTGTGGTGGCAGTTTTAAAAAACAGAATTTTACAGGTATATGTAAAAGAGGAATTTAAACAAAGGTGGTTTTTCATGACCTTCCCCACGCTGCCCAGATGACTGTAATCAGGCGCTGCTTAATTGCCTTGCTGTGGCGCCTAGATCGGAATGCAGCTGGAAAGCAATCAGAGTGGTGGGTCAGCTACCCCTAACAGGTAGTAGAGCTGTCTGTGTTAGCACAATGCCAGGGACAAACCACTCAATAAATGGTGTTTATTTTTTACCATTATTGCTTTTTTTTGGAGACGGAGTTTCGCTCTTGTTACACAGGCTGGAAAATTATTTCCTTGTTAAGATTTTATCAGAACCACTAATCTGTGTTTTCCCTGAAGCACATTTTACCAAAGGCTTTAGAGAAAACGTTTTTTGATGGCTTTATAACTTTATTTGATGTATTCGAGTATCAGCAGTTAGTTCTTCTCTACATTGACTGTAGGTTTTAGAAGGTGGTAACAGGTACATAATTTTGTGGACCCTGAAAGTTTGAGATAAGTCTCAGTTAATATATAAAGTTTATTTTGCCAAGGTTGAGGACACGTGCCTGTGACGTAGCCTCAGGAAGTCCTCAGGACATGTGCCCAAGGTGGTCAGGGTACAGCTTGGTTTTGTACATTTTAGGGAGACAGGAGACATCAATCTATATGTAACAAGTACATTGGTTCGGTCCAGAAAGGCGGGACAAGTTGAAGCAGGAACGGAGGCTTCTAGGTCACAGATAGGTGAGGGATAAATAGTTGAATTTTTTTTTTTCTTGAGATGGAGTCTCACTCCGTTTCCCGGGCTGGAGTGCATGCAGTGGCATGATCTCTGCTCACTGCAACCTTCGCCTCCTAGATTCAAGCAATTCTCCTGCCTCAGCCTCCTGAGTAACTGGGATTACAGGCCCCTGCCACCATTACTGGCTAATTTTTTTTTTTTGAGACGGAGTTTTGCTAGTTACCCAGGCTGGAGTGCAATGGCGCGATCTCAGCTCACCGCAACCTCCGCCTCCTGGGTTCAGGCAATTCTCCTGCCTCAGCCTCCTGAGTAGCTGGGATTACAGGTACATGCCACCATGCCTAGCTAATTTTTGTACTTTTAGTAGAGATAGGGTTTTACCTCAGGTGATCCACCCGCCTCGGCCTCCCAAAGTGCTGGGATTACAAATGTGAGCCATTGTGCCTGGCTTCACCTTTTTTCTTTAGTTTAGCCGTTCATCAGAAAATTTATTGAGAACTTACTCTGAGCCAGGTGATAGAAATTCAGTAGTAAAGTTTTCTACCTTCAAGAAGCTTGTAATCTGGGAAGCTTGGGGTTGGGTGTGTGGTAGTTAACTATAAATGCCTATAACATGATCACAGGATTAACTGTAATGACAAGGATGCAAATACCTCCATAATTAAAGACTGAGCATATGATTTTATTTTATTTATTCGAAGCACAGTTTCACTCTGTCACCCAAGCTTCCTTGCAGTGGCACGATCTCAACTTACTGCAGTCTATGCCTCTGGGTTCAAGCAATTTTTATTCCTCAGCCTCCCAAGTAGCTGGGATTACAGGTGCACACCACCACACTCTGCTAATTTTTGTATTTTTAGCAGATACTGAGTTTTACCGTGTTGGTCAGGCTAGTCTGAAACTCTCAACCTCAGGTGATCCACCCGCCTCAGCATCCTGAAGTGCTGGGATCACAGGCGTGAGGCCAGCCAAATGGTTGTGTTCTTTTGAGTTTCTCATAAGCCTTTCCAAAGAAGGCAATTAAAATGTGCATCTAAGTGAGCAGAGGGATGACTTTGAATAGAAAGGGAGGCAGGTTTGCCTTGAGCAGTTCCCAGCTTGAATTTCCCTTTAGCTCAGTGATTTGGGGGCCCAAGATATTTATGTTTCACACTTCAGTGAGTCTTCATTCTCATTATGTTTTTCTGGACAACTGCACATGGATACGGTATGGGACATTACTTATTCTTTTGGCCCAGACAGCTTTGTTGAACCTGGTATCAGTGTGCACATCTGGGGTTTCCATCTCTTTCATGGCAAATTTCCAGATATCTTTGAGTGCTGAGTGCCTGAGGGGCACTCTTCTTGAAGTCCATTTCAGTGGGATGTGCTTGTGAATGTTGGTGGTCACCACCTTGTTGATGGCTGAATGGCCCTTCTTCTTCTTACCACCCTTCTTCTCCGGGGCGCAAGTTGGATAAAACAATTTTAAGTTGAATATTACACATCCTTAAAATAGTCCCTCAAACATTTCCAAACTCTACTCCAGCCTCTCAGGTTGTCTCCTCCTTTATTCTCTCCTTCCTTCTAGATTATTCCCTGAGCTCCAGTCTTCCCACTTTATCAGGCACAGCATTATTCAGCACGCTCAATCCCTGTTTGCAACTTTGCTGCTTTCTGTCTGAGTATCTCAGGATGCTCTGCAGAACATTAACTTCTGTGAAAGAACAAAGACCCAGCAGAAACCTTGTGACTATTTTAGCAAGATTTTTTTCTCCCAGGAAGCAATCAGGTGTTGTATAAAGTGGTTTTTCTTTTCTCCAAAGTATATTCACCATACTTCAACCAATATGCAGAGAATGTGCATATAACGGCATATATTAAATACTGTCAACTTTTGCTTCTTAATCAAAGATTTAGGGCCCAGAAACTGGAGAGAACCTTTGAGGACTTTAGTAAAGAGCTGTATTACTTCTCTGTTGTTATGGTCTGAATGTGTAGAGGTTTTATTAATAGTAATGTTATCTATATGAGCAATTAGGGAGGTTAATGATCTTATGGACTCTGGCTGCATGACTCCTGGATTATAATTTCTAATCTTACAGCTAATCTTGTTAGTTTACTTATTTTTTGAGACAAGGTCTCACTCTGTCACATGGGCAGAGATGCAGTGGCATGATCTTGGCTCACTGCAAACTATGCCTCCCGGGCTCAAGTGATGCCCCCCTAAAATTCCTATTGAAACTTAATCATCACCATGATAGTATTAAGAGGTGGGACCTTTAGGAGGGGATTAAGTCATGAGGGCAGAGCCTTAAAAAGGGCCTGAGCGGGTGAGTCTGATCCTACCATCTCTTCTTCCATGGTGAAGAGTGAAACTGCCTTTGCAAAAATTATAACAATGAGAAAATTCTGACAGTGAAAGAGATCTGACCTAACCAACTCCATCTTGCTTCTAACTTCCGAGCTGCCATTATTTGTTCCTGGGTGTTATATGTAAGTTTTTGGTGCTGCAAAAGAAATAGCACTCATATAAATTTTCTCTCAGCAAGGCAACTTTACTTTCTACAGAAGGGGTACACTCACCAGCAGTTTGCCATGAGAGTACAAAGAACAAAGGTAAGGCAGATGTATTTATTCCTTACAGACTGACCCCTACTGCTGTGCCCTGCCTCCATTGGCTGGAGCTGGGCCTCACAATCTAAACTATACCAATTGGCTCAAAATAACTCAAATAACTATACCAAATAACTCAAAACTTTCCTGAAAGGGTAAAGGCAAGAGAGAACAAAGGAAAAGATGAAGTAGTTTTGGAAAGACTTAAAAGAAGCAATAACATTTCCAAGTAAGGAAGGGGAATTAACTATGGGCTGAGGCCTGCCTGGGCTTGTCCAGACATGTCAGGGCAAATATCTGGGCTACAGTATACGAACTAGGAATGGCCAGGCACAGTGGCTCACACCTGTAATCCCAGCACTTTGGGAGGCTGAGGCAGGTGGATCACGAGGTCAAGAGATTAAGACCATGGTGAAACACCATCTCTACTAAAAAATACAAAAATTAGCTGGGTGTGGTGGCATGCACCTGTGGTCCTAGCTACTTGAGAGGCTGAGGCAGGAGGATTGCTTGAACCCGGGAGGTGGAGGTTGCAGTGAGCCGAGATTGTGCCACTGCACTCCAGCCTGGTGCTTGGCAACAGAGCAAGACTCTGTCTCAAAAAAAACAAAAAATGGGAACACAGAATATCCCTATTTCTTTATTATAACTAACAGCTACTTAGGATTATTTACAAAAGGCATTAGAGTAAATCAACCTTTGAAGAAGTTATTATTTATCCTTAATAAGCTAAGAAGAAAACTTTGAAGAGGAACTTCTATTTACTTTTATTTTCTATACTGGGCATAGGCCAAACTAACTTTGGGAGAAATTTAGTTTCTATATTAACTTTGAAACAAAGATGATAACAGCTTCTCCTTGAAACAAACCCCCAGGTTTCCTGGGGACCAGACCACCTTTGTTAAACTAACAAATTAGGCCAGGCACAATGGTTCACACCTGTAATCTCAGCACT